TATCGAACGATTACCTAGCATTATATTATAAACAATTTGCACAATTGCGGTTAACTGCGACTTCTCGATATTCTGAAGTAATACCTTCTTCTGTTTGTTAGACGTATGAAGAAGCAACAACAGAAAGTCCTTCTCTTTTTTAATTAATGGATTCATACCGCCTTCTCAGGCTGATAAACTGTCATTAACTGCCCGGGTAAGATATTTGTCCGAAGTTTATATTGAGGGTTTGAATGCGGTGACAGATCAATAAGAAGGTACTTATATTTCTCTGCAGTAGCTTTGTTATACGCATCCATGAAGTACTTTACTTGACCAGGAAAGATTTGTCGTCCTAAAGTCTGTATTTGTAATTCATCTCTGTTGTTTTTAAACAGAAAAAAGTAGTGTGTGTTTAAACTGATGGTTCTGAATTCGCGGCCAGGGCAGAACGCATTTTGACAAATCAGAAAACAAAAGAATTTATAATGATGCGCGTATTTGCAATAGATGTCAACAACTTCTTTACTTTTGGCGCTTTCAGTCATCAAATCGTCGATAATTAAGACTTTTTCTCTCGGTTCATCCATGTGCCAACTTTGCAATTCAGTTTTTGAAGGAAGCCCTTCATAAAACGTAATATTGGGTACAGCCTTTTTCATTTGGGCGTACAGTGGTTGATCCACGCTATAGCAATAATAGATGGCTTTAATTGGCTTTGTAAAAGCTCCATCAAGATGTTTCAGCAATTGAAAAATGAAACTGCTTTTTCCCACATTGCTGGGACCTGCAACAAAAGAACAGCTAACAAATTTTCTGGAAATCATAGTCATAGCTTCTTTCAAAAGCAGAGTGTCATTTTCATTATATAAAATTATTTCATAGATCTATTTTACTAACCTATCACTTGAGCTGTAGAATCCACTTCCAACTTAACAACACTCTGCATTATGAAGATAGATATCAAAATGATGACAGAAAACAGCAAACAGCTGTTATATAAATCTTTTCAAACCTTAGTAAAATATTTGGGAGGTTGGGGTAGTAGAGAGAAACAAGATAATATTTTTTTTAAATATATTTTTATTGCTATATACCAAAACCAGAAAAATACATGACTATATGTATATATATTCATATATGTTGTTTTAACAGGAGAAATCACACTACTGTTTCCTGTAATGCGTTAACTTAATCTTGTATCTAGCGCATGTAATTGCGCAACCATTTTTATCATTTCAGTCTTCCATTGTAAAGTTTTCATATCCGTTTCGCGCCAGTCACGACAATAAAGTTTCAGTCTATACAATCCTACAATTTCATCAACACCTTTCAGCTGTGAAATGGAATGTTCCCAGTTTCTTAGTATCTCGTTTTCGTCCACCTCGAGCAGAATGTCTTCGAAGTAAAGTTTTATCTGCTCTTTTTTAGATAACCGTAAGCACGAGTGATCCGTCTGTGATAGACTGTTTATAACACATCCGTCACACTTTATCATTAGGACTTTCTCCATTTTCTTTAAAATTTCTTGAGCATAAAAAAGCTTGAAATATGACTCCAATAAGCACACTTCCATAATTCGTGGTTGATAAAAAAATGCTTATTAAACTTTCACAATGTTGTTTTCAGTATCTCTTTAAATGTTCTAAAAATATTTTTCGACTTTGAAATGTTTGTTCACAACAGAGGCATTTATTAGAATAATAGTCACATGTATGCCACACTCGTAAATGATGTAAAAGATTTCTCCATGAGAGAAAAAAGTATCCGCATTTACAACATTGAAATATAAACTTTTATTCCCCTGCCTGATCCATTGAAACTGATTTTAAACTAAACAACTATAAAGTTTACCAGTTTTCATAGTCTTTATAGGTGGCTGGATTACATGCTTGACATTTATAATAGGAAATTTGGTTGTCATGAAAAACAGTACATACATGTGATGAAAACCTACCATTGAGCACCTCAATCGGAAATTCTACGACGGTATTCAGTTCGTTTTGTGTCGTATATGACAACATCGGTTGAAACTGTCCCGCGCTTTCATCAGATGTGTTGGCGGGATTTTCATCACCCTGCAGCGCGGATTCAAAGTCCCAGTCATCCATTATCCCAGGAACGCCTAGTTGGTTTTGAGGAACTTCTTCAAACGTTGTACCTAATGATTCATCAACATTTTGGCTTTGAGGAACTTCTTCAAGCGTTGGATTTACTGATTCGTTAGCGCTGTATAGTTCTTTCTTTACTTTATCACGCATTAAAGAAGCTTGACTTATCTCCAAGTCGCTATAGCCCTCTTTATTGTAAGTATTGTTATCCTGAATACACTTTTTAATCGTGCCTCCTTGTATAACAAAATACTCGTAATCCTTTTTATCTGGCGTTTTATATGTCTCACTCAACGTCTCACTCGATTTACAGCTTGATTTTGAATGTTTGCAGCTGCGTCCTTTAACTTTACGCTTACTTTTTGAGAATAGTTTCTTCGTAATATGAAATTTACTTTGTAAATGTCTATCAACGTATAATTCTGTCATCCATTTTTGACATGTCGAACAGTATAAATTCTTGACACCGTCTGTCTTCAGTTTAAACGTCCTATCTTTTTTCACTTTAAGCGCGTTTGTTCTATCTACATAAGCTTGAGCCATTATTCGAAATTTCTTTTAAACAGCTTTTCTCATATGATGTATCTCTGATTAGATTATAAGTACCTATCTATCCATCGCATATAGTAAAACACTGAAAGCATTTCATCATTAAACCAGGGCTATAAACGGTCTGCGTATTTTAAACGAATCAAGTATGCGAATATTAATCTATCTCTATCCAATCAAAAACGAGATGGGAGTGATCTCATAAGTAAAAATTATAATTTTAGTTAATTGTCTCTTATCATGTCTTCGGAAATATTGTATTCGACTAATCTTGGTATAAATCTGCATAAATCCCCTGACCAGTTAGTATATCTACCACTTTCATGAGCAATAGCTAATAAATCAGATGGTGATCGTCTGTAGTACACATGCATTGCCAGCATACAAATTATTACATCTAGCATTTCCTGGTCTACCCATGTTTCTCTAGTTATTCCATCCGAGTAATAGTAGCTATCATATATTCCTTCTAAATATGAATAATCCATTACAGCTGAGATGTGGGGGTGACCAACTATTTATGTCAATATAAACACCTTTGACGGAATTCCTTACACAATTTCAAAACAAGAACATCAGACTGAAAAGCATACGTTACTTTCAAAAAGTCATATGTTAGTACCGCAAACTAAACATTTCCTAGTGACAATAGTTCTGTGACACAAAACCACTTCGATAATACATGTTCTTTGTCTTTTTAAACACCCGAAACAAAATCGTATTTCATTATCTACATAAAAGGACATGAGTGCTCATTTTCCAAGTGTCTAGTTTGTGATTTACATTTTACGTAAACAAGTTTTTATTCGTTAACGATAATGACATTTCTAAACCATCTATGTCCCTGGCTTCTGTTCAAATGAGACATATAGTAAATACACTCAACATTACCTTGGTTACTTATTGCTTCATAATAAGAACCAATTGAGATGAAATATTTTTTACAAGATCTACATTTGAAAAGTTTAACATACTTTCTAGCTTCAGATATATAACCATGTTCCCTAACTATTTCTATATTATCGCTATTACACATACAGCAGGTTTCCATATTTAGTCTATACTAAAATATCTTACAAAAGCCTAAAATTGTTTCTTTATACGCTTTCTTAATACGGTTTTGGACGTGTCGTATTTTTAAAACTGTTGCCGATTTTCCCACCAAACTTTTTGACTGTTTTAACGTCAGTCTTGGCTGTCGTAGCACCAGTATGGACTTTTGTAGCACCAGTATTGACTGTTGTTGCACCAGTATTGACTGTTGTAGCACCAGTATTGACTGTTGTAGCAGCATCAGTAATTTCTGTACTGAATCCCTTAAATGATATGCGTACAACCTCTTTTTGATGTATTTTATGAGCATAAAAATGTTTAAATAAGCTAGACTTTAAAATTACAGCAGTATTTTAATGTATTTTATACGAAAAAAAAAAAGAAAGAACAAAGTTTTAATAAGCTAGACTTTAATGTTTTATATTAACAATGCAGTTAACTTACTAAAAGAAATATTTTTCTTCATGTTCAATTAATTTTTTAGCTTTAAATCTCACCCCATTTTAACCCAAAACAGATCTTTGCTCTTTTTTCACAAGTTTCGTCTCAAAAATTTTCTGATTTTTTAACATTTAAATCTCCCCATTTTGGTTTTACCGGAGTTTTAATTAAAACCAAAAAAGTTTCTCTAAGTGGGTGCCCTTTAACAAATTTCAAACCGAAAGTTAAAAAATTAACCCCAAAAGTGTTAAAAAAGTTTTTTAACAAACGTCGTTAAGGAAAAGATAAGGATGCTTCTTTACCCCCTTTAAAAATTTTGTTGACTGCTATTTAAAATGATTAATCAAATTTACAGGTGCCTTTTTCAATAAAATTAAAATAGGAAAATTAAAAAAATTCTTTCAACTCAGGAGATATTTTTTTTGAAGTTGTTTTAATTAAAAAATTTGTTTTTTTGTCTACCACCCTTTATTTTTAAATGTAAATTAAGTTATCTAATAAATAACTTTTATTCAAGCGAAAATGAAATAGTATTAAAGATCTTTTTCAAGACAGGAAATTACTTATTTATATTTTACAGCGGGTGAGATACACCACCCTTATTTAAATGTAAATTCTTCAAGAGGTCCCTTTTGAATTTAAAAATTGCTTTTATTGAAGTTGTTATTATAATTTTCCTGACTATTAATTCACGCAGTTTTTTTAAATTGACGCAATATAAATTCTGATTGAATCTCTATTCAATGTAAGGGTGTGCCTTAACTCATGTCTCCATCTCAATTCAGTACAACATAAAATATATATTGATTCACGCAGTGTTATTGAAACGAAAAAAAAAAGTAAAGTCACCTTATCGTGGGAACCTACGATTTAAATAGTCATATATAAATAACAAGTATACATCTCATAGTTGGCATGTAGAAAATATTCAACATATCCACAGCAGGAGTGTGCGTTAATAGAAGAGAAGAATATCATTTTGTAAAGAGACAGCTTGAAGTATTCATTTCAAGCATATCTTTAAATTGAAGGAAGGTTAATGACTAAGATACATGTAACAATTTAGTACTATATAACCTATGAAAATCCTTCTTGGTGTTAAAAACTCTTTCCGCTGATTTCTGCAACATTTATTGTAAAGCAGTCCAACAACGGATATTGATGTAAAAAAAACAACGCAAAAACCTCTACAAGCGATAAAATGATGTTTCATCGTCTTCTTTTACCATTCTTGTTATGGGTAGGAATTTCATATGCAGCAAACGAGGCACTAATACCATTAGATCACATTTGTGACTCTGGCTATTGCAACTTTGAATTTAAGGTGGAAGGAACGTACTATTTCAGAAATAAGAATGACGTCTCCAGAATGGAAATTCAGAGATTCCCGAATAGCTTTTTAGACACGAGCAATATGCAGTTATTACAAAGTGTGTTCATCCAGTACACTGAAGATCTGCCGGAAGAACCTTGTAGAATATTCGTCAATTTAAATGCCTGCATTGATCTGTACATTGGATCTAGCAATGAGCCAGTTCATTGTTGCAAGGTATTAAAACAGTTATGTTTTCACATAAGCATTTCTTGCCAAGTTAAATTTAATATTTTAAAAGGTGTCGAAATAGAACTAGGAAAAAAAAACAAAACAAAAGGTGATATAATAAATTATTATGTTTTACTTATTTATTGAAATTGTATCATTCTTTTAATACAATATAATATGTTTTACTTACTTAATTCCAGCAGAGTGAAACTAAGAGAGCTACTAGTGCAAGTGAGACTTCTGCCACAAAGGTAGGATAACTTTCCTTTCAGTTTGCGTTATATATATATATACATGTGTGCGTGTGTACCAGTTTGTTTCAGCTTTTTTTTAAACAATTGTGCTAGAAGCACTAAGTGAATGAATCATTACCAAGATAAAAAATATTGAGAGGTTTTATAACATTCTTACATGATGACTTTCATAAATAGCCTGTAGACTAATGAAGTAATTGCATCAATTTAGACATGCACAAGTGGTTAGACCATAGTGATTGCTCTTATTATAATACAATATAATATGTTTTATTTATTAATTATTAAAATTATCCCATTCAGAATGATGTCCCCAAGCATCACAGAGATAAAAGCTAAAGTGTACGGAAAAAGTCCCCCAAGGGGAAATCTTTCCCAAAAAGGTAATAACCCTTTTAATTCGCGTATATTTATACAGTTTTTTTCTTCTTTTAAGAAAAAATAAGTATAAAATTCATAAAAAAAGCAGAAATTGCCCATCTTGGGTCAGAAAAGTTTATGTTTGGAAAAGGAAACAGAATTGTAATTTTTATTTTTTATTTATTTTCTAAGAATGCCCCAATTTTTTTTTGCTCAAATTTTGTATAACTAATTAAAAAAAAAAAGGAAAAATTTTTTTTTTAATTTAAAAAAGCAGGCTTGGTAAAACAACAAATTGAAGGCGGAAAATGAGCTATTGAAAAAATCTGAACTTTCATGAGCCGCTCTTTGTAAAACTTGTTTCAGATAGTTCCTTCCCTGAAGTGTTTAATAAGAAAATATTCTATCTACCAGTATCTTAATAGTTTCTCAGTGTTGTATTGTTTCATTTTAGATGAAAAGTGTGATAGATGTTTCAAACACAGAGGGCATGACTTCAACCTTAAAGGGTATGACTTCAACCTCATCAAACACAGAGGGCATGACTTCAACCTTAGAGGGTATGACTTCAACCTCAAAGGGCGAAACTGCAAGAGGCAAGATGACTATTGATATTTCAAGTTATACATATGCAGGATATTTTACTATCACAAAGAGTACCTTCAAGTCTCCTGATACAACAAAGAATATGTTATACATTAAAAAGTCAAATAATCTATTTGCTATTATAATTCTTATCTCTGCCTTAACAGTTCTGATAATCATTTTAGTTGTGGGTTTAATCCTTTGCAAAAAATATAGATGTATCTGTGCTATAAGACAACATGGTTACCAACTTAATTTGAAGCCTTCAGATATAATTGAACTTGAAGAAACGAGTCATTAATTAGTATTCCTTTTATTATTTTATTATTTTCTTTTATGTTTATTTTATAGATGCCGGTAAGATCATCATCATTGTAGTCATATCAGCATCAGCATTTATCATCAGCATATTCATTGCTTACTGCATTTACAAGTTCATTGCTTACTGCATTACCAAGTTAAGAAAACAAAACAGGTCATCTGATGTGGAAATGGGCGTGGTTAGTAATCCAGCATCAGATTTAGGCTTGAATACCATTAGACCATCAGACCCTGCTATATATAATCCATTATTCACCAATTCTGATGATTCAGTGGAAACTTTGTTTCAATTTAAACCAGTATCTCCGCTTAGGCCAAGGCAATATAAAAAACAAGATTAATTTGAAATTGGTCTGTTCTTATTCTGTTTTTTTTTTAGATCAGCTGGATGTTATCATCTGTATCATCATCATTGGTATGATAAAAAGGATTATTATTCGATTTTTCCAAGATAGATTGATACACCTGTTTTTCATTGTTCATGCAACTTTCATTCATATGCTCAATCATATTTACAATGTCATTACACATCATCTAATGTCTTATCAAGAGAGGAATACAATAAACCAACGCAGATATCCAAGAAGGGTGAGGAGAGCCCCAGAAAGGCTGCAGTATCATTAGAGAGCTTCACTTTTACAACAATGTTTGAATAGAAACTTATATTTACTTAAGTATTTTTACAATTTTTCAAGCTACAGTGTCTTTAGTGGTATCATCTTTTACAACAATGTTTTACAATAATTCCAATCTGCAAGTACTTCGTTTGTAGAAGCTTATCCTGAAAAGAAAAAAAAAGAACATTTAACTATAAGTTCATGTCTCCACAAATACTTGTATAATATAGTTTATTTGTGTTTGTTTAGTATTGTGATTACATTATAGAAAACTGTTAACAATTTATAATATTATATCAGTTTTTGTGTTTTGCATTGCATTTATTAATTGCATTCCTTTTGAGATTTTACCACTATCTCAGAGAGGATGGGAAGGCGCTATTTCATATTGTTACTTGTAAATTTACTGTTCAAGTAAACAGGTGATAGGTCCGGAGAAAAACTGTTCATGATATTATATCACTTTTTTGTTGTTGTCATTTGCATTCCTTTCATTAAGTGCATTCCTTTTTTCTTTTTTTTTTTTTTTTTTTTTTTTGTTATGTTTTGTTTTTGAGATTTTACTACTACCTCAGAGAGGATGGGAAGGTGCTATTTCATATTGTTACTTGTAATTTTACTGTTCAAGTAAACAGTTTATATGTTTTAAAAAATCTGTTTAGGTAAACAGTTCATAAGAGTAATATATAATGTTTTGTTATTTGATAGTTTTTAAATACATTGTTTTTGAGATTTTACCACTATCTCAGAGAGGATGGGAAGGTGCTATTTCATATTGTTACTTGTAATTTTACTGTTCAAGTAAACAGTTTATATGTTTATATGTTTTAAAAAATCTGTTTAGGTAAACAGTTCATAAGAGTTATATATAATGTTTTTGTTATTTGATAGTTTTTAAATACATTTCTTTTGTACTACCTGAATACCTTTATGAGATTTTTTACCACTACCTCAATACCTACATATCTTTGAAGATGTGTAAGGAATGTGCTTTAACTTGTTATTTGATAGTTTTTAAATACATTTCTTTTGTACTACCTGAATACCTTTATGAGATTTTTTACCACTACCTCAATACCTACATATCTTTGAAGATGTGTAAGGAATGTGCTTTAACATATTTATTTGCTCAATTTTGTTACTGAGTTTAGTTGCTCAGTTTAATTGCTCAATTTTGTTTAGATACAAGTTATCTAATCATGCGGGTTAATATATTGTGCCTTATTCATTGATATTGAAATTTTACCTTCTATGAAAAAAAAAAAAAGAAAAAGATTTCATTCCATTACTCCATACTGCAAGCGTTCCAACTTCACCACTGGTTGTAAAGTCTGAAAAAAAAGAAAGATTAAACAGCTGAGGTCAATATAGAAGGAGACTCTCTGTAGAAATATAATTGGTTTAAATAATTGTTTAACATTTTTCCATCACTTTATATAAAGTGTGTTTTATCTCTTACTTAATTTGAAAACAGGGTAGAACACATTTAAAGCAAACAAATCACTTTAGACTACTTACACATCCTGTTAAGATTCGATGATGATCATCATCAGTGCTTGTAGGCTCCATATCTGCAGTATTATCATCTCTGTAATGCAAAATTATAACATATTTATATATAATATAGTACCTCATTATGGAGCTCAGGGTTGATATTTGATGGTTGTAAGAAAAAGGTTTTAATTATAAGTTCCATCTGTTCAGTTTTATTTGTTTTATTGTTTGAAAACTGTTTTTATTAGCACATTAAAAAAAAATATTTTAATTGTTGTTGTTGTAGTATACTAAAGTCAAGAGCAGTGATTAAGCTGTAAACTGTTGAACCATCTTACTGGTTTTATGTTATATGTTAAAAGCCTGCTGGGTTAGAACCATGTTGAGTCATGGCAATAAGACCTCATATGCCACCAGTAAGTGTTGATTCCAGAAAGTGATTTAAGAAGTTCATGCAAAATGATATGAATCTGTTGATGGAAAAACTTACTCTTTTCTTAACCTCTTCTTTATTGTTGAGGCAAGTGTGGAGGTTATGGTGGACGCAATGTTTAAACCTATAGTTTCTACTACAGCTGTGCTGTAGACATTACTTGGTTTATTGCTCAATTCCTCTATTTTGCTGACGAAAACTTCTTGCTGCAAAACAGAATTTGAAAAGACTGTTTTAGGAGTGTAAAGCCATCTAGTGGTCAATAAAAATAGGTTTGATGTGTGACTTGATTGATACTTTGCGTAAAGGAGAAAAGGAGCACCACCTGTGGGTAATAAGACAAGGCTACTGGTGCTTTGAAAATAACATTTAAAAAGGCAGATAACTGCAAAGAGCTATGTACCTTGTCATACATACGTGCTTTGTTCTTTTATCAATTGCTTCAATTTTGAAGTAAATTTAATTAATAATGAGAGACCAAATAAGAACATGTGCAGATTTTCTGGATGAAGGTAATAAATACAAAAAAAAAAGCTTGGGTAATATAAGCTTTCTTTGAAAACGGCAGAGCTGATAACTATCAAGGTAATAACACTATCATATAAGTTAAAGTATAAATTACCTGAGCAACAATTTTATCAACTGCGTTGATCACTTGCTCATGTTTACTTTTCTGTAGCTCACATTCTTCCGTTAACTCTTGGTTCCGTTTCCTCAATTGAGAAACCTCTGTCCGAGAGGCTGTTAAATTGGCTTGTAAGGCCAGTATCTGAATATTATGATAAAAATATATATATATTTTTTACAAACTTGGATGACTGTAAACAGTTTAAAATCCAAAATCAAACTTTCCAAAATACAATTAGATATACTGTATTTTAGAATTTAAACATTTATTAGACAGTTTACAGAATGGAACATACCTGCAGATCAAGCTGCCTATTTCGCTCCTTGGCAGCTTGGAATTCAATCCTTTCCTGCACAATAATGTTTATTAATTGATTAACAGCCATTTTTTAAAAATATTTTTGCAAATTCACTGAGGAAATGACAGTGATATCTTCAGTCATGAATAAAAAGGCATTCACACGTGATTGCTTTTTTAAATCATTCTTCATAATATCTATATCTAATTATCTTCATAGCGGGGAATATAAGGTATACGCCTAGCACCTCTCGGGGTATACGCTATTTGCATAATAAATGAAAATTGGAAGCTGTGGAAAGCTACATGAAACCAAATATAAGGTCTCATCAGTTAAAGAAACTAAATAAAAAACGGATTTTATTAAGATATTATTTTTCTGCGATTGAATGACTAGTTTAATTCGAAAATTTGATATAAGATGGTATGCTGTAATGAAAAGTATCAAATTTATTCATGAGTTTTCTAATTGAATATTTACAGATGACTGGTTTTTTTTTTTTTTTTTTTTTTTTTTTTTTACTTATGCATAGGTCGTTAAACTTATACTTTTTTGTATAAAACATAGTTCAACTGATAATAAATTTTACTGCCTGATTACTGGCAGTACTTACTAAGATACTGGTGGACATTTATCGTTAAGTGTAATAGTTAGCTAATAAAATTGTAGGATTGACTGAACGAACGTCCTAGATTGAGAAGCGCTTATTTTAAAAGCCAAGAGTAACACAAATAACGAAGTTTCCTAAAAAATGTTTCCTTATCAAAATGTTTCCTCATCAAAATGTTTCCTCATCAAAATGTTTCCTCAAAATGTTTCCTCAAAATGTTTCCTCATCAAAATGTTTCCTCAAAATGTTTCCTCATCAAAATGTTTCCTCAAAATGTTTCCTCAAAATGTTTCCTCATCAAAATGTTTCCTCAAAATGTTTCCTCATCAAAATGTTTCCTCAAATGTTTCCTCCGTACCCTCAGTTTTCCTCTACTCTTATTTAGACGTAAACTTTTAGCCTGATAAATCATTTAAAATGTTTAAAGAGAAATGTACATCATAACTTTCAGAAAAATAGATATTGCAACATTTTTCAATGATGCGACGAATAAAACTGTTCAGTGAAATTTCACGTTATCATTGCCTATGCGTACATTGTGCAAGGTGGTTTTGTTGTTGTTGTTTTAATTTTTGTGTTAAATTGTAACATAGAAAGAAATGCTAGTCCTGAAAGGTTTGGACAAAGTGTTGACTTACGTAGATGACATGGTCGAGAAAACCCAGGAAACAATAAAAGTGTATGTTTATATTATTTATAACAATTTAAATACTGTTTGCAATATTATATAGGCAAAATACGTAACCACAACAAACGCAAATAATGGAGTATTGAACTACATATGCAAACTTCATATATTTCATTCGTCACATGTACACTTCTGAATAAGGCATTCATATTTATAAGAAAGTTTTGCTATAAAAGTGTATAAAATGATTGTTATTATTATTATAACTATGACCTATAATGTGTTGGTGTGACGTAAAACCCAATTAAACAAAAATAATATACTATCTATAAACTTTACACTTTATCTCAACAGTACATCTCTGACTTAGAGTTCGATATCTTATTATTAAAATGACATTGTGCTCTTTTTTTTAAAATGAGCTGAATTGACTTAAAATTTCAAAAGATTGATTGTTAAAGTGATGATTGACCAGCAAATTCTTTTTCTTAAAGATATTACAAGATAAAGACCGCCGTGAATGGTGAGATATCGAATATTGGTCAGAAAAACGAAGATATTAAAACCAGAAAAAGTGAAATTTCATCTGAAATGGAGGAGAAGAAACTCCGATTGGAATCAGAGAAAAAGGACGTGACCAATCTTGAGGCAAAGAATAAAGAAACAGAAAAAGAGCTTCAGAAACTTAAATCAAAACGGGCGGAATTTATAGGAGACTCGGGTAAATCTTTACTTGTTCATGCTTGATGTCAGGAGAATGACTGCCTTGATAAAAAGATTTAGTTGAAACCAATTTGACTGGGCGGTTGTTCTAATAAAGGGAAATAAATGTTTTAACATATGTTAGGTAAATTAAAGAAGTTATCCCCTTAATGAAACAAGACTCTTAATATAAAGGTTATTGCTCCGTACTCGACAGCGAAAGCTGCATTTTGTAGCCCTACGAGCGGATGGACCCTCATTAAGGTGATTCCACTTTGTCAGCACAAAGTCTGTCCAAAGTGAAAGTAGGCCAAACTTCATATAACAACAAAGCTCTTATTGTAAAATGATGAACCATTTGAAAGTACACTTCCAGGTTAATATTTTAAGGACAATTATAAACAAAAATAAATATGATAATAACAATAAGAATATTTACCTTGAATGTGCTACATTTCTGAAGACCAAAAACATTTTGTTGCAAAGTTTTATGCACATTTCATGAATGGCAAAATCCTTTTTAAAGTCTGTTTTAGTGCCAACAAAAGCTATTTTTTGCAGCAAATACAAAAATATTTCAAAACTTAACAACTCCAAATAAATCAGTATCTCATGTCCTTCTAAGCACATGGCCTCTATTATTTTTTGTAAAAAAGTAGTGCAAGAAAACAATCATCATTTATAGCCTTATGAACTACAATTAAAATGAAAACACCATCTAACTTTAAAATCTAACCTTTTTATGTGTAACAGTGAAGTGTGTCTGTTTGTCATGTACACAAGAAATAGGTAAATGATGTTTATTTTCATGGTCCTACTTTATTACACATGTCATGGAAGCCATGTTTTTTCAAGGTCAGATAAACTACTTTCCTAAGATTTATGTTTTTTAAAGTTTTTTGTATTTTCTGTAAACAATAGCATTTGTTGGCACTAAAATAGACTTTAAACTGGATTTTGCCATTCATGCCATACCTAAAATTCAGGTAACAGTCCCCTATTATATTGATAAATACTGTATCACCATGTAACGCGTGTATAACAAACAAAAAAAATCCTGAATTTGGTCTTTTTGAAATTCATCCCATTTTTTCATTCCAGAGTGTGTTCCTTTTTTTTTAATTTGACATGAAAATTATGCATGTAATATTACTATATTATAATATTAGTCCCTTTTGTTACTATTTGTATATTTGTTACAATTATAACAGACTTTGATATTTCTATCATCTATCTTCTGTTACTGACTACAGTAGTGACACAAACAGAACACAGTACAGTCATGTCACATAACATTTACAAGTCTTGTAAGTCTTGTTTGTATTCAATGGATTTACTTTCCTTACCAGGTAGGCATCAGTGAAAGCATTTTTTATATTAAATATTTTTCCCCTCTTTTTAATTATGGACAGTGCATGAGATAAGTATAATTATGCAAAAAATGGTTTACAAAACATTCGGAAAAAATCTACAATAGTACTTAATCTGAATATGCGTAGGAATAATTTGGTAAGGTATCTGTAATGAGCACATTTTTTTGCGCGGAGCTTCTCAATTATTGCTGCATTGCAGCAACATTTGTACTTGTAGATTATGTAATAAAAGAAATATGCCAATAAACTATTTAGTTATGGGACATGTGGTTTATTGAGATAATCCTTATCTATGATGTTAATAACTCCACCTACCATATAATTAATCATGTGAATTATACATAACATAAAACTTTCATATAATACTTTTTTACTCATTTTTAAACCATTATAAACGGGAAGACCTAATCTTTGTTTCGTATTCACTTTTCGCTTAGGTCATCTAGTTGGGGACACTGTAAAGGATGAGAAAATAACAGTAAATTGTATATAAATGAATGTAAAAAACAAACTCTGATTATCATTTACACCTAAAACAAATACACACCATTTATTAATACTTAAACAAAGTATCTTTTCACATATACGTATTTTTTACGGAACAATACCACACTCCTGGCGAGCCCAAGCTCTAAACAATTTACGACCAAACAAAAGAAGAAAATTACCCCAAAAATGAAGAACATAAAATGAATATTTTACAACTCATACAGCATTAACCAAAACAGTCAACCAACAGTATAAACTTCACAAAAACTAATCCTCATCATAAAACAACTTAACCCATAACTGCATAAGCTTTTTGTGAAAAATGGCTTTTTTCATTGAAAAGTCTCCCGTTACAAGTTCAAATTGCTATAAAACTATAAAAAAAACTATTTCAATACTAATCAAACTTGGCACTAATGCTGACTGGACTATTGACTTTGTAACAACGTGCTCAGTCTAAAATTTCCTGTTGCCATTGCAACGAGGGGACATCTCAAAATTGCCAAAAATCACTATTTTGTGTTGTTTTTTTTCCAGCAAAATTGATTTCAAAGTGCTGCAACTTCTCAATGGATTGAGATAGAGTCAAAGGCTTTTCAGCGTTGGTTACACGTTACCTAATGATCGATCTGATGTCATTTTTAGCCTCTCACAAGTCCAAAATTATCTTGGCGATTAGGGGGAATGTCGCCCCCTTCACCCCCTCCTCCAAACAGAAGGGGGCAGTTTCCCCTAAAGTATCTTTTCGATACGGGGGCGCGCCGAAAATGTGGTCACTTTTTTAAACAACATTTCTCACACAAAAAAAAACTTTTGGAGCCTAAATACGGCATTTTTTCACCATTTGAGAAAACAAAAAGGGGGGGGGGTGAAGAGGGGTTAAAAGGCGCGTGTATATCGTCTTATGGGTTAAACTAAAACTCCAAATATTTACAGATATCTTCAAAAACAAAGCATCAACTAATATAATCTTGACAAGACAAAATCACTCAATATAACTTAACCAATATCAACCAAATATATCTTACCAAACAGATAAAACTCAACAACAAAACATAATTCAACAACAATCAAAGCACAGAAGGCGCTGAATTTGTTTGGGTCTCAGAATGTTTGAAAGGTGAAGGTTGTGAGATTATAAACCGAAGTGTTTTTGTATAGTGCCACCAATGCTGTTTCCAGTGTTTTAACTGTAGTAAATTGGCTATAAGACTAATTTCAACACTGTTATTCAATTTAATGTTTATTTGACTTAAACAATTAAAAAAATGAGTTGCCTTAACTGGGATTTGAACTCCAGACGTCTCGCTTCCTAAGCGAGCGTGCAAACCATTCTGCCACGGTGAAAACGGCCTGAAGAAAACCACATTATTCTAAATTAGGGTTTGTAACCCTTATTATTTCGAAACCTGTTGTTTAACACAGATGTAAATAATCATGGAGCTTACTATAAGCATGTATATCTATAAAATATAAAACAATATTAGAAATCTTCGACCATTCGGAAACTATTTTGCTTGAAAATCAATGCGCCTGTCAGTTGACAATCTTTACGCAGTGATCTCCGCTGAAATTTTCGGCGTAAGTGTACATATAAAGGGAAGTACCGCTTAAGAAAAGCGGACTACTTTCGGCATTTGCAATTAACAGCATCAGGGTCTGAAATTTCGCTACTATTCTTTGGTTGGTCTGACGACCCAAACAAATAAAAACAACTACATTGTAATTTAAACCAATGATCAATTATAATCAATTAAGATGACCACAATTAAATTCAACCAACTTCTACTAATCAACAAAACTCCCTTCAAAACGACATTATTCTCTCCTTTAAAAAATAAACGCTACACCTTTCCTAAACCGATGTAAATTTCTCCCAAAACTCGCATATTTTCTATTTGACATTTACATGTATAGAGAGTTATACGACTAGCAACAGGTTAAATCAAAGGGCTGCAAGCTCTGTGGTATTTTCTGATCTTTGCAATCTAAATCATACTGACTATCTGTATGTATTTTCCTGTATAAGTTTATTTTTATATACTATAATTCATCTTACGCAGCGACTGCGTTTAGATTGTTTACTATAACAGTTTTAGATTGATACATATGGAATTTTGCATGACTAGAGTTGCATCAAAAATCATTTATGTTCATTTTTTATGACAGCCACACTTTATCCTTGCATATCGTGGCTACTTCTTTAAAAAAGACACTTAAAAAAAGTTGCCTCGACTAGGATTTGACCCGCAGACCTCTCACACCCTAAATGAGCGCGCTACCCCTGCACCACGGTGAAGTATTACGTAGTTAGTCTGAATAAAAACAAATACATTGTAATTAAAGTGAGAATTTCCATTTCATGTTTGTAATCCTTGTTAATTTCGAGGTATTTTGTTCACGATAAACCTGTTGTTTAACACTGATGAAAATAATTTAGCGAAAATCTTCTCGCCAAAACAGTCCGACATGTATATATTCCACTACTCGACAATCAGATTTATTTGTGTACTACGCTCTTGAGTATTCGGTAATCGACATCGCTAAAAATAGCATTTTCATTGATTAAACTGATATTCATCCGCGTTATTTGTGATTGTGCATTTATTGCCAATTCTATATTCTTTTAAACTTTGAATGCGTTGTTATTTGTTGGATACTTGTAACAAAGTAAAAGTATTTCTTTCTTTTACATCGCTAGTTTTAAGCTGTTTTGAGAACTACTCGTACTTGTTGTTAGGTTTGTCGTGAACATTCTGTGTCAGAGACTGAATGTCCGCGATCAGAAAATACAAAAATGAACTGTTCATTGAAATAACCGTGTTGTTTGTACCGTGTGGCGGCTGTAAAAAAATTCTCCTGTACATGCAATCAATGTTGTAATAGTTTCATCCCCAAGGGATTATTCGACGTTCAGTGTTGGTGTCCCCCTCCGTGTCCAGTCTTCATAGAAGACTATATTCAAATTCTTTAACATTATCCTATTTGCAGGCTCTGTGTTCACTGTGGCACTGTAAATTTAGTCTCGTAACTTTTTTCTATTAGTGCCCCACTGTACACAGAATCATTTTATGTCTACAAATAATCATAAAAATAACTTCAATGTGAAAAAATTTACACACTTTTTTAAATTTTTCCCGGGTTTTACATTCTACGTTTTCCCAAATTCATTTACAAAATTAATATCAAAATTTAAAACCCTAGAGGAACAACCGGTTTCTTCTTTTCTTTTGTTTTTAAAATTTTCGTCTGTTAATTATTTTTATATTTTCCACGATAAACTCGAATATTTTCAATAATTCTTTAAGCATTAGGCTATCCCCTTTACAGCAAAACCATTCAAAAGAAAAAAATATTATAATATCCACTTGGGAAAAATTATTTTCACCACAGATCTAGGAGTGTATCTTCTATTAAATAAGGTTTTTCTCAGAAGTGCGGAGTTGTAAACTTTTATCGCCACAGGTCTACAATAACCCTTAATATTCAAAATATACTTTTTGAAAAAATACGATATTGGGACTGAAAGGCAGCCTCATTTTTTTTATTTTTATAAATTTGAAAAACACCCGTGGGTGTGGCATACAGTATGTTGGTCAGACAGGGCGTTCTCTGAAAATTCGATTCCGTGAACACTTTTATAAAATGAGTAATCGCACAAAATTTATTACTTTTTAATATGAACATTTCCGTAAAGATGGTCATTCATTTAAAAAAATGTTTCGATTCAGCCAGTGGAGCGAATAATTTATGATTCTAATGCTTCGGCTAGTTTTAACACTGAGCAGAATTAAAACGGATCAAGGACGTTCAAACTCCTTTCTCACTGGGCCTAAATGACAATATTTTTCAACAAGGTAACATCTCTAAAGATCCTAACATTGATATATTTTCTATTCTGAACATTCGTAAACGTAAATTCCGATCTCACGGAGTACCTAAAAAATGGCGACATCAAACGTAAATCTAAAATTACCCTGTCTGTCACCGACTTAGATAATATCTAAAAAAGTTGGTTAACATGCAATGTTATCACGTCTTACTTCCTTTTCATTAGACCTCATATCGACAACACTTCTGACCACGACATACATTTTTTTAATCGAACTTTTCGAAATAAAGGTATTGATTTTAACGATTTATGTAGTATATTTCGTGATGAACATGTCACTGATTCAGTTCCTCTAGACTTCAAAAACTCCGAGATCCCAATTATTTGCTATAAATATAACAAACCTGTTAGAAATAATATATTTAATTGTAACAAAGTGGTCTCTGACTTAGATATTCAGTCTAATACTCCAACAAATTCAGACTGCAATACTTCTAAATTCTGTAATTCAGATTTTGGCCATATAATTACTGGTAATTTTGATATTATTGCAGACAAAAGAATTCGTAACTTATTCTTAAAAATACTTAAATACAGATTGATTTTAATGCTTGTCGTGGTCAAATTGCTGAATCTTTTGAAGATTTTCGGTCAAATGATGTCGCCGTGCGGATAGTAATGCTCTAGTTACATGGAAACGTAACGTCTCAAACTATTGATTCACGTATTAATTTTTATCGAGGAAATCTTTTGCCAACTAAAAGAAGGCTTACTTCAGTACCGCTCAAGCCGGTGGTAGTATAGGGGGCGTAAGGGATGTTGCACGTATTCATTATCCTTCATGTACAGACCGAATCAAACCGAGTCTGCAATTTTCTTGTAATTTTGTTGTGATTAATGCTTCACTTTGTTTCCAGATTTTTTTACTTTAAGACATCTGAAAAAGGATATTGTAGCTTTTCATTCAAAATGTGTTTTGGTACCAGCGGACAAGGCAACCAATAATAATACAGAAAACTTTTTCACGGGAAAAAGTTACCTTTCTTGCATGAAATTCTAGTAAGGTTTTTTTTACTAACGGTATTGTTAAAACATTATACTATGTGGACATGTGACAAAGTTTGTAGAGCACCATCTTTTCTTTAAGACAATATTTATATATCCTATTTAAACAGATCAAATTGTGCACCCTTTTTCGCCGATTTGTACTGCTATGAAAGACACTTTATGCTGAGTCTCTCTAAAGATACACAATAAGATGTTATAGTAGCATTTATTAATACTTCCTGATACCTTGATGATAATTACAAATCAATAATTCTTATTTTCATCAAATGGTGTCTGATATTTATCCCCATGAACTACTACGAGGGTTGTCTGGAAAATCCGGAAAGTTCGTAGACAAGACTATTAAATTACTATAAACAGTCATTATCAATACGAAGATTGAATATTTTGCTAAAGTATTTATTTGTTACATTTTTCTAAATTAAAAAAACATGTAAAACAGTAAAATTTGCAAAGCGCCGATCACCATGGCAACATGATCAACGAATCACGGAGCACTTTGTTTTAATGACGATAGCTACTCTAGTAGTAAGTTGCTTAAAGTTGTAATTTTAACGAAACCACTCGTTTTAATTTTGTGACATCATGAGATACTATTACATGATATTTAGTGAAAATTATTACGTCATACGCAAATAAACAGCTTGTTAACGACGATTATCGATAATGCATGTGCATACATTTTGTGTGCAAAAATGACGTCGAATTTACGGACGGAGCAACGTAATGATATTTAACTTCATAGCAACGCTAACATGGCACCAACTGAGATTTTAATCTTTACTTTAAAAACAAAATTAACCATAACATGTTGAAGGCAACTTGTGTTTAAATGCCAAACAAGATTAAGAAGCGGTGATGACAGTATATCGTATAAGAAACGCTCCAGACGCCTAAAGGTAGCATGGATGAGATATCGTATATTGCGTTACAACAACCTTTGAAAAGACAGACACGACACAGTATGGGAAACAGTGACATTTTTGTTTTTAAATAATAATTTTAAATAAGAAATTCATAAAGTAAAAGCAACATGACATTATTAAGTATACGCCAGACATGAATCATGGCTGTTGAAATCGGAAGAAATTGAATAGCGGGTAAACATGAAGTTAATATATATATAAGTATAGTTAATTATCCACAATTAGATGGAGACGTTCCCCATGCAACTCCTACGAGGTATATGTTTCTCAGTTAATTAGATTCGTTAGAGCTTGTAGCAACGTTATGGATTTCAACGAGCGGAATATTTTCATTACCAGCAAGCTTTTAAAACAGGGACACCGCTTTCATAAATTACGGAAATATTTTACAAAATTTTACAATCCTTATTATGATTTAATTTCAAAATTCAATAGCGATTTGAAAACACTTCTGTGACAAGGGATTAGCCAGCTTGATTTTTATGAAGATGTAATTTACTTTGGGTCATGGTAAATTTTCTGCTGTTTTTACTAAACTCATTAAACGTTTTATCAAAAGAGGTTATGACCCTACATTTTTAAGACATACTGGATGCTTAGTGCTAAATCCTTTTACGGTTGGACACTACGCTTTCCTCTTTTGATTACAGCTGACGGACCAAGTGGGAGACTCTATGATGGACAGTTCTTAAAGCCCTTTTAAGACCGAATTGCCTTAATGTTTGTCTTCTGCCTTTCTTGTACGGGCCCTTGTAGGTGATTTTCCTGTTGCTTTGTCTTCCTTTAATACATTGAGTACTTTTGTTATGATTACTGTGTTTTCTTTTATATGTTTTTACATGATCAATTTGGTGTTTTACCTATTTCACCTTTTTTAACCATAAAAACTGTTAGAATTTCACTTGGCGGATATTCTTTTTATTTACACTGTCTCGTTTATAGGAACATAGTGGGGCTAAGATAAAAGTTTTGTGCACATTAACCGCTTTAAAATCCCCAGTAGTACTTATGCTGCTGGCGGCGGCGCCCCTCTGTGTTCCTTAGATGTATGTCTTGTCATTTCACAATGTTTTGGCGACATTTTTATTTGTGTCCCTTGTTTTCTCGTCTACGGTAAGTATCTTCCCTTTTGCACCTAGTTTTATATCTTTAATTTTGCCCCCACCCCTTACCACGAATCTCCTATCCCCTTCCCCTATGCCCTTTTACTTAGTTGGCATATTAATCATTTATTTGTTTTCTATGATTTTGATTTCCTTGTCGGTTACTTTTGTTTCTTATTTGTCATTTTAATGCTTAGTCTGTCCGTGCTCTGCCTCGCGCCCTTTCTTGTTTTGTCTTGGGTCCTTCTGACTCCTTGACACTGGTTCTTTTTGCTGGATCGTGTGGGTGTTGCGTTCATTAAATCTGAAACAATGTATCGTTGTAGGAAAATATTAACTCTTTGTAAAAAGTATACATCCACAGATAAACTGTATGATTACAATACAATATTTACAACAATTTTGTTCTGAAAATACATGTACGAGTTGAAATAAAAATAAAATGTACATTTCAGTTTTGCATGAATATTATTTCAAGACATGAAATATAATTTTCTTTTTCATATAGCTGTTGATATATATTATACATGGATTTATGGTTATTGATATTATATCGCTTTTATTATTTCTCTAAATATTTTCTTAAAATTTGTTTGCATCTTTTTCAGTTCAAACGTACGGAGTTATGGACTCTTTAAAGGAACTTTTTACAACTGGAATGGCAACAATGGGTGGTGTTTTTGGAGGCGCTGACACCGTGAAAGCGATTTCTGAAGGCGCAATGATTGCTACTAATACAGGCAAAGAAGAGGCGGTAATAAATGTTTGTTGTAGCAACGCAATTGCTGTTAACAGTTGTAACACATATGCTGTATAACAAAAAATAATCTTGAAACAAAGTGATCCCTCGGAAGCATTAATCACAACAAAATAACAAGAAAATTGCAGACTCGGTTTGATTGAGTCTGTACATGAGGGATATTGAAAATGTGCAACATCCCTCAAGCCCCCTAGCACCGGCTTGAGCGGTACTCAATTCATACGCCTGCTATATTTAGTTACAACAGAGTTGCTGTATAAAGCTTCAACACATTTTCTAAAAATAGCTGCAACACAACTGATGTATAAATAGACTAAACAGCTGCTGTAATGAGGTACAACACAGATGCTTTATAAAATTACAAAACAGCCACTGTAAATAGTTGCAACACATCTACTTTATAAAGTTACAATGCAGCATTACCACACGGTTGCTATATACAGTAGCAACACAGCTCCTGTAAATATACTGTAAAAAGTAACTACACAGCTGTTGTATGCAGTTGCAACACAGTCGCTGTAAATATTGGCATAACAGCTACTATAACTATTTGCAAAAAAGCTGCTATAAAAGCTGCTATATAAAGTTGCAGCACAGCTGTTGTATAAAGTTACAATGCAGTTGTTGTATGAAGTTTCAACACAGCTGCTATTAATCGTTACAACGCTGGTATATAATGGAAAGGGGCTAAAATTATAAAATGTGATCAGATATTGATGCCTAACTGAACATCACATGGTTTAAACTCTTTTATTTTAAATTTTATTGTTTATATCTTATAATGTGTCAAATTCAACTTTATATTCAGAGCCAACGGGCCTTAAAGGCGAGTGGAAAAATTAAAGAGTATATAGACCAGGAACAACGGAATATTGAAAAAAATGAGGAGCGAGTTGCAAACATGAAAGAAAAAGCTATAAAAGGTCTTGCAGCTATGGAAAGATTAGCCCTTGAAAACGGTAAATGTTTTAATATTTTACTTTCAGGGGTTGATCGGAAAGAAGAAAATTTATAACGATTTTAATTCAGTTGTATTCAAAGAAAAATTGAAACATCCCTAGTAGGAAAGCTTTATAAAGAAACCGGCAATTATATATATATATTATATATCCTTATTTAAGATATTCACGAGTGCATGCAGAACAGTCATCTTTAATTATGTAAATGAAAGGCAGCTTATGCCTCAAAAATGAATTATTCTTCCTATAATGGTTAAAAAGCATGTTATTACCTGAAGTCAGAAGAGCAGGCGGCTGTGAAAATATTTAACACAAAAGTAACAAAATGTAAAAAGTAGTATTTTGACTTCTATGCACAATATCAAATCAATATAACAGAACCTATTCAAAGAAAGCAACAGACGCAACATATAATTTAGGTGATTTGCCAATGAACTTTTGAGATATATTACAGGACACAAAAAAAAAACAGAATATTTTCAGAAGTAAAAATAAAACGATTTAAGAGATATAATTAGCATTTATATAATGCGAACATGAGCAATTGATAAATGTATTTAAAATGTATTATTATTATTATTATTATTATTGGTAACTATTACAGTTGTAGGTATTAAGTATTTTGTACGAAAGTCGAAATACTACTCTATTTACATTTTGCTACTGTTATGACAACCTATTATGTCTCATTCAGGGCTACACCCTCAGGTGATAAGCATTTATCATGCTCTTAAATTATCACTTAAACGTCATAAAATTCGTCTTGCATTTTCTTAAGAAATAAAACAAAGGTTTCTGAAACATCGTGCTTTTAATCGTAATGAGTTTTTATTCATTTCAATATGTACAAAAAGAATTCCATCAAATTTAAAATGTATGCCATATCAATCGATTTACGCCACAACAGGGGCATAAAAATACACACTTTGTAAAAAACTGATTTAACAGTTCATTCTTTTTAAAAGCGGATCTTATGAATGAAGAAAGTCTTAAAATTGCCGAAACAGAACTAGGGAAAGTTCTAAATCTATTTGGAAAGATTTTACAGTTCTGGGAGGATTTTTCAGCAAAGTTAACAACACTGAAAAACACACATGACGGAGTCAAACTTTTAATTGAGTTTGTAAATGACCCTGATCTAGCCGAAGATATTGACGACTCGGTACTACACGTGAAAAATGTAATTACATTATTTTTAATCACTCGGGTTATTTAAATTTGAAATTCTTAAAGAAGGCTAGCATACCTCATGAAAGTAGTTCGACATAAAGGTATATCCACACATTCTTGCCAAGTCGACCATTCGTGAGAATTATAACAAAATATCTGTTTTAGAAATTATTTTTATAGAAACTCCTTTTGTAGCTAAGTCTTAAAACATTATACCTTTAAACTATATGATTGTATCATTCTTTAATATTAATAATATGATGACAACAATTTGTAATTTCTACAAGTTCCACATAATGTTATATTGTATAGTTGTTCATCTAAAGACAATAACAGTGCAAGATATTCCAATAAAACTATTAAAACGCTGTTGTCTAAAAGAAATATTTGTCTTTGTCTTGTATCTTTTGCCATAGGTTTGGACTTCATTTGGGATTATGTGTAGTTACTACGTTGACGAGAGCGTGAAACAACTTCCTAAGCTATACGCTTTCATGGGTGCGCCTGTGGATCAAAACTCTGTAAAAGAATGTGAAAAAAGAAAGAAGGAACTCCTTGAGGAACATAGAGCTGATATAAGGGCACTTCAAAAGAAAATCATATAATCCTAAAATGTCTTTGGATAGAATGATATCCGTATTGTAAATAATGAACATGAACTTTTATTTTCTCGTCATTATCTAAAACAAAGTGATGTATCGTTTGCAAAAGCAAGTTTGCCTTAAAAAACTGTCCGATGT